TTCCTGCTGTGTGACCCTGAACAAGTGATTTACTTCTCTGAGCCTTCATTTTCTTACTGAAGAATTTGAAAATCAACTCAAACCTGGCTCTAAAATTATGAAAGATAAAGATGAAGAGGGCAATTTGTGTTTCCTTGAACTTAGGATTCATTGTTTGACAGAGCATGTAAAATTGTTTTAAAGATGCTGGTCAAGACTTGGTATTAGAGTCAGTTACTCTGGGATCAAGGGTCAGTTGAGCGATGACTTACCAGACATAGGAACAACAAAACACTTAACCCTTCCAAGCCTCAGTTTCTTCATGTTTAAAATAGAAGGCAGAGGAGAAAAGGCAAAATATCGTACACGATAGTGGCTTTATTCATTTGTTCTTATGACCCCATCAAAGTTGTGACAGAAACACAGAGCAAACAACAAGTAGAGTTGCCTGAGGTCTAGATGAACACAAGCCTTACAACTAGGGAGAAATAAGAAATAAGAAATAAGAAATCACCATGCAAACGAAGGAGGTAGTAGGGGACAAAGACATGAGGCTGCCCGATCCTGAGTGTCTGAGTGAGACAGAGACTATGGCAGTTGCAGCCGGCAGCTGTAGATGCCTCTTAAAGGAGCCGTGTCTGCTACCAGACTTTCATGGCGACGGACTCGCTCACTCTGAGGATCAGCTGCTGCAGATGCACCAGAGACTTATAGGGGGACTCTGAGTTGTCAGAGTGAGGGTGGAAGGTGAGGCTTTCTCCTGGGCAGAAGTGCTAGTGGTATCCATTGTTCCTCTGTTGAGCTCCCTCCATGCTTCCAGTATGCACCATGGAAATAAAAGGCACCACCATAGCTAAGATGTCATTAAATGTATTACAGAGGCCACTCTGCCCAGATGACTTACTGAAACTCCGCCTCCCCCAACTTGCAGCCCTACCCAAGCCACATCCCATTGTGTCCTTTGCGAGTCTTATGCAACTTGCTGAGCAGCGCCAAGACTCCCACTCATGGCAGCTGATCTTGGTTTCTGGCATGGCTTTTTGAGGCCACTATAAGCACAGCATCTGTGGATTGCTTACAGAATCTTAACAGGTGGCCCCAGAGGGACACAAGCTGGGGCTAAAATTAGCCTGCTGCTGAACGCCACTGGACACCTACTACACAAAGCTATGCTAGTAAGACTAGAAGACTTAGGAGCTTTGCTTAGTACATAGAAACAAAACAAAAAAAGGTAGCCAAAATGAGAAGACAAAGGTGCAGAAACTATATGAGAGAACAGAACAGAGATCTAGGAATAATGGAGTCAAGCAATCTAACAGATACAGAGTTCAAAACACTGGTTATAAAGATGCTCAATGAACTTAGAGGAAGTATAGATGAACTCAGTGAGAACTTTAACAAACAGATAAAAAACTTCAAATTGGAAATGGAAATTATAAAAAGGAACCAGTCAGCAATGAAGAATACATTATCTGACATGAAGGGTATATTAGAGGGAATTAACAGAGTGAATGAAGAAGAGAATCAAACCACCATTAGAGGACAGGGAAACCAAGGTCATCCAATAAAAATGGCAAGAAAAAAGAACCCAAGAATATAATAATAATTTAAGGGGTCTTTGGGACAAAATTAAGTGTAAAATCATCCATGTAATAGGGGTACCTGATAGAGGAGAGCGAGTACAAGAAGTGGAAGAGATATATGAAAAAATAATGATGGAAAACTTCCCTAACCTGGTGAAGGAAATAGACATACAATCCCAGGAAGCTCAGAGAGTCCCAAGAAAGAAGAACCCAAAGTGACCAACACAAAGACACCTTGTAATTAAAATGACAAAGGTTAAATACAAAGAGAAAATATTAAAAGCAGCAAGAGAAAAGCAGCTAGTTACCTACACAAGGGAGCCCCCATAAGAATGGCAGCTAATTTCTCAAAAGAAACTATGCAAGATGGAAGGGCTTGGCACAAAATATTTGACGTGATGAAAATCCAGGATCTACAACCAAGAATACTTTATCCAGCAAAGCTATCATTTAGAGTTGAAGGATAGATAAAGAGCTTCTCAGACAAAAATAAGCTAAGAGAAGTTACCACCACCAAGCCAGTCTTATAGGAAATGTTGGAGGGACTTTTTGAAGAAGAAAAAACATGTATCAAAAACAGGAATAAAGAATGATAATAACTACATTCTTATTAACAATTACCTCAAATAGAAAAGAGTTAAGTGATCCAACTGAAAGATCAAGTAGATGAGTAGATAAGAAAACAAGATCCCTACATGAGCTGCCTATAAGAGACTCACTTCAGATTAAAAGACACACAAAAGGAAGGGGATGGAGAAAGATATTGCCTTGATGGTCCTACAGGTTATTGCGCTAAATTAAGTAAGTAAGTTAGAGAAAGGCAGATACCACATGATTTTACTTACATGTGGAATCTAAAGAACAAAATAAATAACAATAACAACAAAAATGGAAACAAACTCATAGATACAGAGATTATTTTGAGGGCTACTAGACAGGAAGGAGGTTGAGGGGACGGTGAAGAAGGGGAAGGGATTAAGAAATACAAACGGATAGTTACAAAATAGTTATGAAGTTATAAAGTATAGCATAATTAAAATATTCAACAATGTTTTAATAAATATGCAAAGGGGAAGAGAGGTACTAAATTTAGTGGGGTGATCACTTGAGCTCTAATCACTATGCTATACAACTGAAACTAATATATTATTGTATGCCTATATAATTGAATAAAAACCTCACCGAATTGTACAATGTAAAGTAAATATGAGCAACCAATTGTCTATTATATTTCAATAAAGCTGGGAAAAAATTTTAAAAGATAGGAGAGAAAGTGTATCGACTCCAATGATCCCTGTCTTCTGGTGTTTAAGTCCTATAGTCCACTCCCATGCTGAACAGGTAGGGCTGACTTGTACAATCAATAAGGTATTCTGGAAGCAATGAAGTATAACTTCTGAGGTTACATCATTAAAGAAATATCATGTGGCGTCTGTATTGTTCTCTTGGATCACTCACATTGAAGGAAGCCAGCTGCCATGTTGTCTGAACACCAAGCTCCTACAGAGAGGTCCATGCGGCAAGAACTAAGGCCACCTGCTAACAGCCATGTAGTGAGTCATGTTAAAACCATCCTTCAGCACCAGTCATATCTTGACTGTGGTCACATGAGAGACCCTGAGCCAGAACCACCCAGCTATGATGAATTCTTGACACAAAGAAATTATGAGATACTGTTTGCTGTTTAGATCTAAAGTGCTTTTGTTTTTTGTTTTTGTTTTTTTCTTTTTGTGAAAGGAAGGTAATTTGTTACATAGCATTAGATAAACATCATAGAATTGTTGGGAGGAGTAAGTAAAATAACGCATGAGAAGCGTTTAGGACAGTGCTTGGCACATGGCAGATACTCAGGACACTTGTACCTGTTCATGAATGTATGTGAAGCACTCAAGAAGTACCTGGCATATGGTAAATGCTCATTTAATATGTGTAAAATGAATGTTAGGTATTGTTATCTTTACTATCATTATCACCATCATCATTATATATATATATATTCAATTTAAAATCACTTCCCCAATAAACTGGACTCTCAAATTTCTTCTCTAAAAAATGTTAAAAAAGAACTATTTGAAAATCCCAAAGCCAGAGAAACAAGAATTCAAACTCTATGCTTAGGAGTGGCATTTGTGTAAGTTCTCTCTACTTTGGCCACGCCTTGTTCATTATCCTGAACTATATTTAGATGAAACAAAAAATACGAATTATGCATAGTGAACACCTAGATGAACACACATATATAAAACCAATTACTTACCATCGACACAAGAAGGTCGATTTCTTGTTGTTCCAGCCACTTTCCCAGGTAGACAGGAACACTTTACTGTTTGGGACCGCTCCTCAATACGATTCTTATTACAACATCTGTGTGCTGCTATCACTTCACATGTCCCTCCTTCTGGCAAGAGAGAAAGACACCAATTAGAAATAATTCAGCATCCATGTAGGTCTGTAAGATATATGTGGAGGGTTTGGGGAAAGTGAGATAAGTTAGAGAAATGGTTTCTGTGAAGTACAATTACTATGCAATTCTCTCCCACTACGTGTAGACAAGACTATATACAGGGTCTGTATAATGTTGTAAAAGACAACAGGCATTATAGCACTACACTTCAAATAGAACAAAGAGCACAAATGAATAGCTCTCAAGAGGCAGCAATTCCAGGCTGGACGTACTGAAAGGCAGTGGAGTAGTGAATGCCCAAAGCTAACAAAATAAAGATGCTACTTGATTTAAGTGCATTATATTTTTGGAGTTCAATCCTGTGTTATCTTTGCATTTGCAATTCTCTGAGCTCCCACTAATGACAAGAAACTGACCCTCCAGTGATATAGTACCTGCAGTTGCAGGAAAACTGCCCAGAATTTGGCTCTCCCTCCTACTGCCGCCTACTCTCAAGGAGGCTAAATAGAAAATCTAACTGGGGAGTCATTTCCCAAATCTATATACCATGCAAAATTGATAGAACTGCTGGAGAAAATGGCATCTCAAAATACAAACCTAGGCTTATGCTTTTACTTAATTGTTACAGGTCAGCCAAACATTCATCAATATTTGTTGGCATCCTAATAATGTATGTCACTCTTTACCAGGTTCTTTACAAGTGCACTGCTGGATTTGTCTAGAGGTTTGGTGAGCATTCAGGTAGGTCCTTCCAGCCTGCAGGACATCAGTTAAGCCATTTCTCCAGGGACACAAAAGATACTCAAAGTGATCAGAAACCAGAAATTAATGTTTCCAACATCAAGCTTTGCATTCAGGAAAAATGATTTTCGTTTAACAAGAATGAGCCATAACATTTATGATTCTTGGCATTTAAGTTTCAGTTGGCAGAAATTCAGCAAGCATTTGTGAGGCAATGACTATATACAAGTTACTGTGCTGTAAACTGTAAGGAATATGAATCCAGCCCATACATGGTGGCACTTAGGGAACACTGATAAAAAGGAGAGGAGGGAGAAATGATAGTAGGGAGAGGAGAAAGGAGGGAGGGCTTAAGACACAATTCCACCCTTTCCTAAGAACTTACAGTGTAATGCAGTGGTTCTCAGTGCAGGGGTTGGGGATTGGGGGTGGGATGATTTTCCGATCTGTCCTCCCAGTAATGATATTTGGCAAAGTCTGGAGACATTTTTAATCATCATTGCAGATGGATAGTGGGTGCTACTGATATCTAATAGGTAGAGACCAGGGATGCTGCTGAATGTCCTACAAAGTACAGGAGAGCCTCCCACAACAAATAATTATCTGGCCTAAAATGTCAATAGTGCTGAGGTTGAGAAACCCTGGTTTAATATGATAGAAACATTCACAAGAATTTCTGACTTAAGGGGAGAGTTCGGGCTTTCAAATCAGCTTGCTTTACTCTGAATATCAGCTCTGTCACTTACTATCAGTTTCCTCATCTGCAAAATAACAATAATAACACCTGCCTCATAGAGTTGTGTGATTATAAACCAAGATCATATGCGTAGGGATTACCACTGAGTCTGACACAGAGTAAAGTGACCATATATGCTAGCAATGGTAATAAAATCCAGTCACATTGATGTATTTATTTGGAGATGCCCCCCTCCTTTCTGCCTCGGGAACTTTGTAAATATGATGTCTCCTGGAAAACTCTCTCCTACTTCCCATTCCTCTACAACCCACCCTCAACTCAAATGCATTTACCCAGTTAACTCTCTTTTGAAATGAACACCAAGGTTGCTTCCTTAGAGAACATCCCCTTACTTCCACCACTTTTCATTCTCTGAGCATCCTATACATTCCCTCGCACGATTATAACTACAGGTCTGTGACCCTAGGCAAACTATAAGCTTGGTCAGGGTCAAGGTTTTTGCTTGTCTCCTCAGAGCCCTCTTGTCAACAACTGGTGTACATGCTCCATAACTGTTGGTTGAATGAATGAAAGAATAAGTGAATTAATAAAAATTAACATCATAATGTAAGTACCAAGTTCTGAGGACATAGGTGGAAGAGTAGACACATTCATTTTTGAAGAATTAGGAAGGCTTCTTAAGTTATGAAAGATAGGGCAGGGCTTCAACAGGGGATAATGATGGGGAAGTATTTCATTAATATGAAAGACTTTTAACTATAGGACAGTTTTAGATTTACAAAAATCTTGTGAAAATAGCACTGAGTTTCCATATATGCCACATCCTATTGTTCCCTATTTCTATTCCCCTTATATTAACATCTTATATTAGCATGCTAAATTTAAACCAATATTGATACATAATTATTAACTAAAGTCTATGCTTTAATTTAGATTTCCTTAGCTTTTACCTAATGTCCCTTCCTGTTCCTGGATCCCTTTGAGGATCCACATTGCCTTTCATCGTCTTATCTCCTTAGGCTGCTCTTGGCTATGATAGTTTCTCAGACATTTCTTTTTAATGACCTTGATAGTTCTGAGCAGTGTTGGTCAGGTAGTTTATAAAATGTTTCTCAAACGGGATTTATCTGATGATTTTCTCATGATTAGACTGAAGTTATGTATTTTTAGAGGAAGACCACAGAGGTAAAGTACCATTCTCATCACATCATATCAAGGGTGTGTACTATCAATGTAACTTATTGCTGTTGATGTTGACCTTGACCACTCGGCCCAGGTAGTGCTTGTTAGATTTCTGCACTCTTCCTTCTCCCTAACCCTACCCCCTCTCACATTTTTCTTTTTCTTTTTTTTTTGCAGAAAATTACCATGTGCAGCCCACACTTAAGAACTGGGGAATTATGCTCTACCTCCTTGAGGGTGGTGTATCTACTAAAATTATTGGTAATTCTTCAGCATAACAGATTTGTCACTTCTCTCTCACCTATTTACTTTTATTCATTTATATTAATATGGAATCATGGGTATTTATTTTATATTTTGGGTTATAATCCAACACTATGTTATTTATTTTGTTGCTAAAAATATTCCAACTTCGGCTATTGTGAGCTCTTTCAGCTGGTTTCTGTGTATCTCTTCCCCACACTTTTTGGGAGCACTTCCTTAATCTCTGGCCCTATCAGGCTTATCTTATTTATTTCCTACCCAGGTCCTAGATTCAGCTATTTCTCTAAAGAGTCAGACAGAGTTATTAATTAATTAATTAATTCATTCATTTATAATTTTAAGAAGTTTTTCAATTACAATTGACATTCAATATTATATTACTTTCAAGGTTATAGCATAGTGGTTAGACACATATAATTTATGAAGTGATCTTCCCAATAAGTCTTGTACCAACCTGACACCATATACAGTTATTCCAATATTATTGACTATATTCCCTATGCTGTACTTTATATACCTTTGACTGTTTTGTAACTGCCAATTTGTACTTCTTAATCTCTTTACCTTTTTCACACAGATCCCTAAACCTACCCCTATCTGACAACCATCAATTTATTCTCTGTATCTATGAATTTGTTTCTGTTTTGTTTGTTTATTTATATTGTTCTTTAGATTCCACGTGTAAGTGAAATCATATGGTGTTTATTTTTCTCTGTCTGACTTATTTCACTTAGCATAATACCCTTTAGGTCCATTCATGTTGTTACAAATGAAAAGATTTCATTTTTTATGGCTGAGTAATATTCCACTGTATGTATGTACCACACCTGTTTTTATTCATTCCTCATTTGATTAGTGCACTTAATCCATTTACATTTAAAGCAATTATTGATAATATGTAATTATCATTTACTAATTGTTTTCTGATCATTTTTGTAGCTTTTCTCTGTTCCTTTCTTATTTTCCTGCTTTTTTTTCTTGTATGTTGATGACTTTCTATAGTGTTGTGTTTGGATTCCTTTCACTTTATTTCCTGTATATCTGTTGTAGATTTTTGGTTTGTGAATACCATGTGCTTTGTATATACCAAGTTATGTTTACGGCTGTCTATTTTAAGTTGATAGTCACTTAAGTTTCAACACATTCTAAAATTTCTACAATTTTTACTCACCCCCTCCACGTTTATGTTTTTGTCATTATTTTTTATCTCTTTTGTCTGTGTGTGCTTGTTTGTATCCCTTAACTTACTATTGTAATTACACATTATCTTCTTATTTTTGCCTTTTAACCTTTGTATCAGCTTTAGGATTGGTTGATCCACTGCTTTTATTATGCATTTGTCTTTGTCAGTGAGAATTTTTGCTTTGTGGTATTTCCATATTTATATTATTTATTTTTTTTTTTCTTCTTAAAAAGTCCTTTTAACATTTCCTGTAATACCGGTTTGGTGGTAATGAATGTCTTTAGCTTTTTCTTGTCTGGGAAGCTCCTTTTCTGTCCTTCAATTCTAAATGATAGCTTTACTGGGTGCAGTAATCTTGGTTGTAGGTCCTTGCTTTTCATCACTTTGAATATTTTGTGCCAGTCCCTTCTGGCCTACAAAGTTTCTGTTGAGAAGTTAGTTGATTTTCTTATGGGAGTTCCTTGTGGGTAACTAACCGCTTTTGTCTTGCTGCCTTGAAGATTCTTGCTTTGTCTTTAAACTTTGGTATTTTAATTATGATGTGTCTTGGTATGGGCCTCTTTGAGTTTATTCCTTGCTTTCTCTATTCTATAGTACCCTTATAATATGAATATTGGTATGCTTGCTGTCGACCCAGAGGTCTCTTAATTATCCTCATTTTAAAAAATTCTATTTATTTATTTATTTATTTTCACTGTTCTGTTTGGCTGTTTTCTGCTACCTTGTCTTTCAAACTGCTGAATTGATCCTCTGATTCACCTAATGTGCTGTGATTCCATCTAATGTATTTATTTCAGTTATTGTAGTCCTCATTTCTGACTATTTTTAATGCTTTGCTTTCTATCTTCTTCTTCATGTTTCCTATTTCTTTTTTGAAGTTTTCATTGAGATCATCTATTCTTCTCCTCATCTAAGTTCACTGAGCAG